ATGTTCAACAGTGCTCAATAAAGGCTGGACAAACCACCAGCATAGACATAGTCTATATATTTTTTAATACATTTGAATAATAAAAATAAACTAAAAATGTATTTTGATCAAACTTGCCTGGGTGGGCCAGGGAGTAATGTGGGCGGGCCAGTGCCGCCCTGGCCCATTACTGGCTACGCGCCTGGCTTGCCTGTAGCGTCACTGATTTCTGAATCAAATAATTTTCCAGTAGTTTTTTGATAAAGTAGCGACGTAGCATCCACAAAAGCTACAGTTTCCAGGACATGTCTGAGAAAAGCAGAGGTTTCCTCTGCAGTATGATTTTGAAACGCAACAATCAGACAGAAATAAAGCATGTTCATGCGCACGCTTGTACTCTGCTTCTACTGCCTGTCTATCGAAACACGCATGCGTATGGCAGCGTCCGTACTACGAGATCGATACTTCAGTTTCAATTTCTGTCCTGAATGCACTGCGGCTGTCTTTGTAAGAGATGCTGCTCTCAATTGCCACTCCCGGCTGTCACGTGACTCAGCGGCGCCAGGCAAGCAAACAGGCTGACTTACACGCGCGCGTACAAAGTATAATATTTACAATAAAGTATTGAATTAGTGAGCCGCCGAACCATTCTCGCAATAAACAGCAGAGATACTTCGGGGTTTATTCACCAGATCGCGTTTATTACACCCGTATTACTACAATCCACACGCTCGCACTGCCCACCATGCACATCGCCCCATTTACTCATATACAAGGTGGGTGCACGCATACATACACGTGCACTACGTACAACAATAAACATTAACGATTATACATGACATAACACACAGCACATTTATAATGACACAATTAGCGATTACTGAGAACTATTTACAAGCTGGCATCAGTCCAACATGCAGCGCTGCCGGCCGGTACCTCCGCACTACAGTATTTATTTACTTATAAACTTTGCCTAAATTCTGTCCTGGGTTTTAACTAATTCATAAATAAAAAACACTTAAAAGTAATGAAAATGAATCCAGCTTTATCAATTTGAAGATTCATCCACCTTGGTTATTAAAAAGTATAGATACAACACAGGGGTCCCAGTTGTAAACAAACACTTGTTAGAACAATAAGAGCCCACCCATGCACCATTACCCCTCGCCGACCCTCCCATCCCCTTACATCCCATTCACCAGCACTAAAACATGTAATTCAGGACTTTAATTCTCATTTCAGTTTGGACCAGTTCATTTGCTATTGTCCCAGTGATCACTCTCTGAGCCATGCTTATTAAGGGGTATTGGTGCCGTCAGCGTAATGGTAGAAAAGTCACAGATCTACTAGTGCTTCCAACGTAGGAGAACGTTAGCGCATAGATGGGTGGGTGGCCGGGAAGACTTCGGCCACTGACGGGGGGGGGTCAGCGAGGATGTGTGACACTGTCTCAGAGATGGATCTGAAGCGCAGGTTTCTGTCGGATCACCGTCCTTGGCTAGACATGGAAAGTACACAGATGGGGCCGAGAACGTGTGGACAGCCTGTGCGGTCCCAGAGTCCCGGTCACACGGGCCGCCCGCATCGCGTGGCCCGGCCTCTTTAATACCCGCTCGCAGGTAGCTGTCCCACCGCAGGGCGTGTTCATTCCGTTCGCTGTTCTTTTGATGCCTGTAGACAGTTATGGAGCTTTTTAAAAGCTCGGTGGGGCTGAAGATGGATGAATGGAGGGGTGAATGACAGTGTTCTTTTTCTGTGGTGGTGTGTGTGCTTGACAGTGTCTGCGATGGAGTGGCATCCGGACGAGCAGGGACTTCGCCAGGTTCTTCAACTCTTGAAGGATTCGCAGTCTCCGAACACAGCAACGCAGAGGGCTGTGCAGGAAGTATCCTCTCCATCGTTCACAGGAGGCATGCGGCTGCGGCTGGTGCAGCTGGAGCGGAGGCTGTGGGAGATGACCAAGAGGGGCTGATTTTTTTGTTTTCCATAACGGAGCTCCATGACCCATTGTTAAGCTTGAGTGAGAGTTTAAGTGCATCAGCTGTGATCTAGTTACTCGACACTGAAGGGTCTGCTTTGCTGAGCCTTAACGCCAGTAATCTGACCACAGCTTTGGTCTTGCACGCTGCTGTTCCAGACTCAGCACATTTTTGCTCCCTTCTCTCTCCAAGGCTGCATCCCGAATGTTGTTCTGTCTTGGAATGAGCTGGTCTTTAAGTGTCAGTCTGNGGGGGGGGGGGGGGGGGGGGGGGGGGGGGGGGTGCTGTTTTGTTGCCTGTTTTTCTTCCTCCCCCTTTTTTGTCCTTAATGATATTTCCAGAAACTGGAGCAGCTGAACCAGTATCCTGACTTTAATAATTATCTCATATTTGTCCTAACAAGCCTGAAATCTGAAGGTATGGATGTACAACAACATAAAATTATTGTGTTTGATTGGCTTGTGGCGTGGAACAGGTGACTTGTGACCAACTGAATGATGGTGTTTGCAATGCATACTTGCTAAGATAAAGCAGTCCCTTTCTTAGAAAAAAAAAAATAATAAAATACTTTGATGCTTTTATTTCAACAAATAGTTCAGAAGATGCAAAGGTTCATGAACAAATATGGTGACCGTATATTGTGTATAAGATGGAATTATCTATACCAAAATGTTTCATTGGTATGTTTCACCCATGCTAAATGTGTACAGAATATCTTGGTATTCTTGTTGCCTGGAGAAGAGTTAAGGAGAATTGACATGTTTGTCTGACAGATTGTTGTAGGAAAGCCACAATCAACTTTTCTCCCATTGACCATTTTGGCGAGCCGTGTTGACCTCATTCTGCACGGCCGCTGACCGCTGTGGTAGAAGGTGTCAGGTTAAAGCGTGGAGTGTGCAGGCAGATCATCAGTGGCTGTTTTACAAGGAGAAAACCAGTAGAATTTTGCGCTGTCCTGTTAGCTTGGAGAGAGGACGTGGAAACGGTGCCCATTAGCTTCGCATGTGCAGAAGCGAAAATACACTCGAGGTGCTAAGATGTCTCCATTAGTAAGTTCCAGCATTTTGAACAGCGCTCCCTGGCTCATTCCAGAGTCTTCCGTCTTAAAGCTCTGCGTATGTTCCTGAAGTAACGTATAAGAGGAAGTCCTGGGCTCTCAATTGCGGCATTAGTGATCTGGTTTTATTTCCATCCTGTGAAGCTCCTTGTGGCTTTTGCTCTAACAATGGCCGTCTAAAGTTTCAGCACCCGCTGCGTCTCTGGCATCCTTTCACCCCCCCCCCCCCCCCAGATGAGCCCACTCAGCGGCCTGATCCTGAAGAACAACGTAAAGGCCCACTACCAGAACCTTCCGCAGGCCGTGGCTGACTTCATCAAGCAGGAGTGCCTGAACAACATCGGGGACTCTTCGCCCCTCATCCGGGCCACCATCGGTGAGGGCGTGCCGGGGGGGGCGCCCGTTGGGGAGGGTGTGACGGGGGGGTGCCCATCTCTCGTTTTCCACACCGGCAAAATCAGCATTTTTCTGAATAATAAACTGGAAACTGCTTAACGTCGTTCCTTGTGGAACGCTCTGTATAGTGGTCGATAATCAGCTTGTGGCATCGCTCGTGTTTGAGCAGTGCCCCCCCATCCTCGCCTCCCGTACTCCCCTGGCCCCTCGTCTCTGGAGGTGATGTGCTCTGTTCCTGCTGATGGGCA